GAGAGAGAGAGAGGATCTAGTAGTAGTTGTTGTTGTTGACGGAGACAGCCAGAGCAGTCAGACAGAGCTGGTTCTATAGCGGACAAGGGACAGGCATATATTTGTAAGTCTACTTTTATCCAAAAAACTAGCGGCAGAGGGAGAAAGAGAAGAAGAAAGCAAAGAAGGTAAACAAGCATTAGAAAGAAGTAACTAAACATCCCGTTTGCTGCCATATTTAATCTGGTTCTGTCATTTTTTCGTGGTGTCGACTGGCGGGGGCTTGATTAGACGCCTTCGGTCCCGGCCCCTTTTCTCCTCTGACGTCCCTTCTTCATCAGTCTCCAGTGCCAGGCTCTCACAGAGAAGGCTGGACGAGTCACGGCCACGCCCGTCAACGAAGCCGTCTGAGTACCGCCTGGTGAGTGGACTTCTTGCTGTACGGGCTCGGCAAGGCCGCTCGAGGCCAGCGAAGGGTGCTTTCCTTTGTGCACCATCGGTGGCAGGAAACTCGTAGGACACGCTCCTTACACTCGATGGGGAGCTCCGGACAGGTGAAGCCGGCTGGCTTGGGAAATGTCCCATCTCGAACTCGCCCGTGAAAACCTCACCGACGCCCAGAGCTGCGCTTCTCCGGGCTATCTCTATCTTCTTGTGGTCCTCTAGCCCCAAAAAGACGCTTCTCCGGTCCTGGGCAATGAGATACTCTACGCCACATGGCCAGCCTATAGACGTTGCCCTTGAGGCTGAAGTAAAGGCAGAGTCCAACGAAAGCCGGGACTCTAATCCCGCACCGTTGGTGAAGTGTGTAGGGAGAGTAAGGCCTGACGCGTTGGTATTCTGATAACATCCATTCGGGCCCAGGGTAGGGGCGGCAAACCGACCCTCGGCACCCTCGGGGGGCTGCACTGGAACTGGGTCTTTGCCTTCAGCTGCTGGGGGAAACGTGTTCAGGTCTACATTAAGCTCATCGCCAGCAGCCTCAGCCATGTCGGCTGCCTGGGTCGGCGATGTGTTGTCGTCAGCGGCCGCTGCATCTGCTCGTGGACCACCCCATGTTCGCTGACCGGCTGTGAATATACCGTTAACCATGTAGAGCCAGTTGAAAAATGGGTTTAAAAGGAACATTATCGGGTATAACCAAGCCTTGAAACGACGAAGCTTCAATCCAAAATAAAGCATAAGCAAATAATTCAATCCAAGAGACACTGCAATGAACCCAACAGGGAGATTTTGAATCTTGTTAGATGTGGTAATTACCGAGATCACCATTATAAAGAACAGCAAAGCCGTGGTTCTGATCGTGTTCTGCATGAACCGCACAACGCATAGCAGCGGATATCGATACCATAGCCTTGCATCGGTAAGCATACAAACTTCGTTGGTAATAAAGCCCAAGAACCAACGTCTTCGCTGTTTCAACAAACTTCTGAAAGTTTGAACTGCTTCCGTTTTGCAAAATGCGCTGGTACACATCTGGATCTGGTACCTGTTCCTAGCTCCAATCATGAACAGATGCGTGAGCCAGCGGTCCTCTCCCAAATGGCACTTGCCAAAGTCGAATAGATCGGCACATTGCTCGGCTTTGTCTGCAAAGTAGTACTTTGCCATCTTCCGGAAGGCAGAGAAACGAAGGATGGTGAGAGCTCCGGGGAGGCAGGTAACGGCACCGCAGCCAGACTCTACAGATCGCTCGAATAGTTGTCCATGTATATATTCCATGTCCTGCAACAGTGTGATCAGTGTGGTCTTTTTGGTTGTTGATGTGATCACACCCGTCATCGCCAGCATGTTGCGTTTGCTTCCGGGTTTGAGTTCCATGTCATACATAAAATTCTGGAGGCACACGCGGTCGAGGATACAATCCGAGTCAATAAATAGGACGAATAGATTGTCGTTTTGCAGCAGGTATTTGGCGTAGACCTTGTCAATTAGTCTAAAGGTTTGTTTCTGGCAGTGACGCTTCCCTCCATGCTTGAATCGAGAGAGCGTGACTCTGGCACCCTTATACGAGACATCTATGCTGGTTGGGTATTTCTTTAGTCCAACTGGAATACCAAGAAATCCCGCAACAGCGAGGTACGATTCATCCACCTCATCGCCGTCGTATGAGAGAAACACATGTATGCATTGAGGGGGATAGTCACAGTCAACGACGGAATTCACAGCTTTGAGTAGAACCTCGGGCTCCTCTTTGTACACCGGCATGACAACAACGGTTTTGGGAGCAGTCTTATCGTCGAGAACTTCTTTGATGCGTTTGGTCCTGCCCAGCGAATTCGTAACCAGCCTGTAGACACAGAACAGCCACGGCACAATGAGCAGGACAGCGAAAGTCCAAAAGGCAAACCATTGTAGAAACGACACCAGCTCATGCGGAAAGTACTGTGTTATAGTCGGTGGCAACGGAAGTGTGACGACCATGACCGGAAGGAAAATACCTCTAATTCACCATTATTAGATCTGACAGCTTGTGAAGTCCACCAAGGTGAAATAACCAACCTGAGCGCAGTGAATGCTATCATCATAACGATGGCGAGAATTTTCACACTGAAATGTTCTGCCTTCACGAAGACTTTGTACAGGCAGTATAGGAAAGCCGCAAGCCATAGAAACCATTCCAGGAAGGCCGCAAGCATGACAGGCCCGATGATGGCCACGTAGATAATCTAGATAATGGGCGAACTGTGTTAGTCTCTACAACCAACCCTCTCTCCCTGAAATCATGAGTAAAAAGGGTGACATACATCCTGGACAGGCCATTCTGTCAACAGCTCCTCTGAAGATACCATCGTCGCGCCGATGGAACTGCTATCCTCCTGCTGTTACTTCTAACAAGCCCTGTGGATGGGCTTGCCAGGCGGGTATTATAACCTCGTTGTCTCGCTTTCGAGACCCAAGAGATGGTTAGTTAACTCCCACGGGTGGTTGCAACAGCCCTGTCCTCCCAGACTATACAATCCCACCTGCAAGATGCAGGAAGACTTGGTGAAGGGTTTCACCCTATGGCCAGTAGCTAAGCTGCAGGGAAGGGCGTGCCTTGGTACCCCTTGTCACTTTGTACGGTTCGTGAAAGAGAGAGAGAGAGAGAGCGTGTGTGCGTGTGTGTGTGCGTATGATGGTGTGGTTCTTCTGGTGAAGTTGCGAAATCTTGGGTGAAAGAAGTTGTTCAGCGGGTGATGTCCCCTTTTGGTATCAACAACGACAGCCCTCAAGAAATGGCCGCTGTAACCATCGCGGTCAGTTCCCTGAGCAAGAAGAACAGAAACGAAAATTTTAAAATAAAAGAGGACTGCTGAGAGCTGATTAACTAGAAATACTAGTCACCCTTTGCGTCTCGACCCCGGCGCCCAGCGTGGTAGATTACTAGTTATTCCAACTACCAGCACAAAGAACACAGCCAGCTCGAGGAATATCCACAGCTCCGGACCAGCAGTCCGAGTTAAATAACTGATATCAAACGGGAGAAAGCGCGGGTCTCGCTGCTAGGGTTGCAACCTTTTGAAAAAGAAAAAGACGCCCAGAGGCAAAGGACATGATAAGTGCGGTCCTTGGGCAATCGCTATGGAGCCTTTTCCACTTTCCGCTGGCCAGCGCGACGTTCCGAAGCTGCAAAGAGGGAAAAATGCAGTGGAATTCTAGCCAGGGCTTTTTCTCTTCTTCCAGTTGGACAAGACAGGCCTCGCTGTCGATTGCATTGCAGCCATACCCAGGCGTTTGCACAGCCAGGGGCGTCCCCGTGAGCCTTGACCAGCCTACACACAGTGCCAGCAAATCAAGGATAAAGAGGGAAAAGACTGAGGATATTTTCCCCTGCAATTGGATTGGGGAGGGGAAATCAAGGACGGCTTGCAAGTTGCCACTACAATCCGGTAACGCAGAGTCGCAGGACATGTCTCAGATCGAGCGTTCAGACAAGCGGCGTTGGCGAGCATTCCACGTTGTGCTTTGCTGTCTGTCAGATCCGCTCCGGCCAGCCGGCCACAAAGCCCAATCAACAGCTATGGCCATGTTGCAGTGCATCGCGGACGATCGATGCATGATTCCAGAGGCTTGACTCCGGTCGAACGGTTTCATCGCCAATAAAACATAGTAATAACCTATGTCAGCCCAGCCCAATCATCGTCGCCATCTCGACATTTGCGCCTCAGGAAAATAGATGACTTTCTTTTCACATCTCCGGCTCCTTTTTTTTTTTTTTACATAACTAACTAGCTAGCTCGCTTTCCAAGCAAGTAGAATAATCTTTATCGATAGTGGGAGTGGAGGGAAAAATACATGTCTGTCATGTATTGTAATATCTGGCAACATCATGGGTTCCTCGCGGTGAAATGTTCGTATTGATATTACATCACCAAGGGGAAAAAACATGTGTGCCTTTTTTTTTTTTTTTTTTACGCAGCTTCAAGCGCGAAGCTTTTGCTCTCTATCGGACAAGGCAACTAACTGCTGGGAGGAGGCACTGAGCGTTCACCTCGACTAGAAGAGAGAAGCATCTCGCCTAAGGTATTTATCCTTATCCTGACTTACTCCTGCATCCTTGTGAGTATCAAGAGCCCCCGCATGGATGGTGGTAGAGACCTGATATCGGGTTTCTTCGTCATTTGAGGCTCAAAGAGCTAACTGTCTAGCCATTTCTCCTAGACCAGTACCAGGCCGATTTCCAGGGAACAGTTAGAATGGCGGAAGAGCAGAAAGTAGCTGCGGCCGTGGATGCTACCGCCGACAATGCCGCCGCCGAGCAGGATGTGAAGGAAGTCCTGGCTGAGCTCAAATCAGACGAAGCCAGCAAGCAGGACAGCGCAGATGCTGAAAAGGCCGAAGAAGAAAAGATCGTTGCGGCTGCTAAGAAGCTAGGCGAAGAAGCTCTGTCAAATGAGACTGCAAAAGAAGCGTCAGAGACACAAAAGGGACGTGGCGGCAGCCGTGGCCGTGGTCGTGGAGGAGTGCGCATCAACTACCGCGACAATATCAAATCGGATGCATCCTCCCTGGAGGAGACAGATGATCCTGTTGAGATTAGAAAGCAAGTGAGTGTGGTCGCCTCTGCCCTTGTCATATCGCATGCAAGTTTGGATTTACTCACCCTTGGACAGGTTGAATTCTACTTCTCTGACTCCAACCTACCAATGGACAAGTTCCTCCTCTCAAAGGTTGGCGGTAGCGAGAACAGGCCAGTTGAGCTCTCTCTTCTTCATTCATTCAAGCGAATGCGCCGTTTCCAGCCTTTCAGCGCTATTGTTGAAGCCCTCAAGGGCTCGGAGCTCGTCGAACTGGTAGATGACGACAAAGCTGTGCGTCGCAAGGTCCCTCTTCCAGACACCATCAAGGAGACAGCCGATGCATCAGCCGTCAAAATATTCGAGGATAAAGCCATGCATCGCAGCATATACGCCAAGGGATTCGGTCCAGAGGAACCCAGTACCCAGTTTGACATTGAAGCCTTCTTCACTCCCTACGGCCCCACCAACGCTGTTCGTCTTAGACGTGCCATGGATAAGACATTCAAGGGTAGCGTCTTTGTCGAGTTTGAGACCGAAGACCTGCAAAAGGCATTTTTGGCAATTGAACCAAAGCCGAAGTGGAAGGGCACCACAGAATTACTTATCAAGAGCAAGAAGCAGTACTGTGACGAGAAGATCAAGGAGATAGAAGCTGGTCGTCTGAAGCCCAGTGACCGGTCTAGTGGACGAGGCGGTCGAGGAGGCCGTGGAGGTCGCGGAGGTCGTGGGGGACGGGGCGGTCGAGGCGGCCGTGGTAATGGTCGGGATCGTAGTGATCGAAATGGTGACCAAGTAAAAGAAGAAGCCCAGGCAAAACGCCATGAACCAGAGAAAGATAGCCGGTATGTTCTTGCACGTTCGCAATTAGTGGGTTACAGCCCGCATAGGCACAATTCTGACTTGGCTTTTGATATAGCGGTGTCCCTGTCATCCAGGTCTCCAGCAACAAGGCTGAATCCCAACAAAATGGAGGTGCCAATGGCCAAAAGCGCAGTCGTGAAGAAGACTCTGGGCCAAAGGCCGATGGCAATACCGAGGAGAGACCAGCTAAGAAGGTTGATGCTAAAGACAGTTAAGCGCTGTCTCTCCTCTCTTGCCATTCTCTTCACACCAAGCCTCGATCATGCAATATTGAAGATATCAGTATATCTGAGAATAATCTTCAAAGTCTATTTTTCTGCACCTTGTTGCCATGACCTTATTCCCTCCATACTGGCAGGTCTGATCTATTCACATTTTACCTCAATTTCATTACACCGGCGTGATGGGGTTAACCTGATATTCGAGATGAAAAATGATAAAAAAAAAAAGCATACAAAAGAATTATCCGGGTTGGATTTGGCATTTCGCTTTCCTACAACGATGTATTTGTTTGTCCTCTTATCATGTATCTATATGACTAGGCCTAGTGGCATACAAGTGGTACGTATGTTTATCGATTACTTGATTCTTACTTGCTGATTTAGACGAGCAGTTGTGACTTCGAATACTCTCGGGAACCAGGTAGACAATGGCGATCTATCGTCGTTAAACAGTATGCTGGTGAGTGCTTTTGCACATAAGAAGCACATTACCATGCCTGTAGAGTACGTTAGAGAGGGATCGATAACAAATAGTAGCGGGGACAGAAGGATAGAACATATTACCATGCCCCTGAAATGAAGCTGAGATATACAGTCCGGGCTCTCCCGGGATGTCTCCTACCCAGGGGAACCCATCGGTGCTATATCCCATGATGCCAGCCCACTCCTGCCGTACTCTGCCTTCGGGGCTGTCTTGGCCCCAATTGTCGCCAAAAAACATCTCCGTGCAACTAGTCAAATATCCACTGATCTCCGGTGCAAGAGTGGCATCATCCGTTGTCCCGTACTCATACAGACCTCGGCCCCTACCTTTGGTAAAACCTCCCCCTATCACGATATCGCCTGGAGACCTGGGCTCTTGGGAACAAGGAATCATATAGTCAAATCCACCAGCATATACAAAGGAATATGTATGTGCAAGCCCGTCCTTGGGCATGCTCACTCCGGGTCGTTGTGCAGTGACCTGTCCTTTCAATGGTACGATTCTTCCTTGTAGCGGAGGGTATAAGGCAGCAGCGTATCCGTTGGTCGCCATAACAACCTTAGAAGCCAGTATTTGACCTCGAGGGGTCAAGACGCTCCAGTTTGGTTTATTACTTCCGCCTGGGCTTGAAGTGATTCTGGTAACAGGAGTCCCGGTCTGCAGATTTGCACCTTTTGCCAGCGACAGCTTCAGCACTCCAATAACAAATTTGTATGCATTGATACTTCCAGCTTCATACGTAATAGCACCGACGGCCCCTTTGCACAGGAACTTCTTCTCTGCATCTTTGCTGTTCCATAGGGTATATTTGCTGGCTGGGTCGTCTTCTCCCATGGCTTTTCGCATCGCATCGATGGCCTGCACCGACTCATCCCAGGCCTTTTGATCATAAATGATATCCACCGTCTCGAGTTCACAACTGTTGCAAGGAATGCTGTGTTCCCTGGCAAACGCGTGAACTTGCTTGATGGTATCATACTCAAGTCTCGCGATCTTGACTGCTTCATCTATTCCAACAGCAGCCGCGTGCGTAGCAAATGAGGTATATGAAGCTGCCTTTGTATGGCCGCCTAAGGATTCTCAGGGGTTAGCAGGGCTTTATCAGATAGTTATACCGGCGTTATGTACCATTCCGCCCACTTGCTCCGCTGCATGCTTGCCTGGCTTCGAGAATGACCACTTTTGTGTGTGGTGACCGCGTGAGAATGTTGTATGCAATACATGCACCGCTAATACCAGAGCCGATGATAGCAATATCTGTATCCGGGGGCAGTTCGGCTGTTGAACGGAGGTCAGCAATCCCATCGGGCGGATCTTGCCAGTACGATGTAGTTGGCTTCTCCCATGGGAGCGTCACCGGTATCAAGGCCCTCTCTTCCATGGCTACTCGAATATTATGGGTATAGACTCTGGAAGTACACCCGCTGATAACTGCGATGAGAATTTGGTAGATATATATCTACGAAGTTCACTTGGTTAACTAGACAGAGTTACCCCAGATCCCATCCTTCGATACGAGGTGACCAAATCAACCCATCAGATACAACCACAAGCCTCTCCACTAAATGGCTGGATCAATAACTACCGAGTTACCTTTAACTACTGATTCTCGTATCGACTAACTAGTTAAACGATCGAACGGGTTCACCATGGCTCGAGAACAGTCACTTGAAGCCTTTCGGCCAAAGCAACCAACTTCTGTCTCTCCAATGCCTATCCTCCCGGTCTATCCGCATGGACTTCCCGAGTCAAGGCTAGCATGATGGAGCATGGCAAAGCCGAGGGTGTGAAATATCCGTTGTCCCCGCAAGGGAGCTTCCCTGACGATGGCAGGGGGAATCATTTCAACCATGAAGATCAGCAACCCTGGCTGTCATACAGGGCGATTTTACATGCCCTAGCCCTCGATCACTGTGCATAAACATGGGGTCACTGTGACCTCTGTGCCGTGGACGAAGAATCTATAACCTCCAAAGCCATATTCGCGCAGAATGGAGTTTCGAACAGTTGAAGGGACCAATATGGTTCCTGGAACTGTCCAGATAGTTGACCGTATGTGCAACTATCAGCCCCCTCTATAGCTACGTCTTTTATTGCCATATATCAGGAGTGTTTGAAGCTAACCAAATAACGTGGGGGAACAGTGAAGGGGTCATTGAATGTGAAGCACCAGGAAGGGGGAAAGAATGATATTATTCTTGTACCCCAGCCAACAAATGACCCAAACGATCCTTTAAACTGGAGCAAACTGCGCAAAGAATACCATTTCTGGTTGCTCTGGATATGGGGATTCATTGCAGCAGTCTCTGTTAACTGGGTAGGCCCAGTTTGGGTGAGACTATTGCTTCGAGGTTCAACAAAAGGCTGCAGAACGGTTCATGCTAACGGCAGTATATAGACACAACTTACAATCGATTTGAACACCACATTCAGCCTTCTGAATGTTTCATCGGCCCTCGGGTATTTATTTCTCGGCATAGGCTGCGTTTTGCTTCAACCGATTGCTATGAAGATCGGCCGACGTCCAGTATATATTTTTGGTACCCTCCTTAATATCATTGGCTGTATTATGGGGGGTGTTCAGGACACGGTCGAGCAATTTTTTGGAGTTAATGTTTTGACAGGTTTAGGGGCAGCTCCAGTCGATTCTCTTGTGCAAATTTCTACTACAGATATCTTTTTCGCACACCAGAAGGGAACTAGGCTGAGCTTACTTGTCTTCACTCTGTATGCAGGATCATACCTGGGACCAGCTGCAGCAGGTTACATTGCCGAATCACAGGGATGGCGTTGGTGTTTTTGGTATCTTACCATCTTCTTTGGTTCTCTCATGGTCATCCAACTATTCACCATGGAAGAGTCGAGCTTTCGACGGCCACTGTCAAGAAACGAGCTCCCAGGTTCGCAGGACACAGACCAAAATACACTGGAAGAGATGTCCACAACCCTCGAATCAAAGAGGAAAGAAGCAACGGAGAATGTTGAACCAGCACCAGATCCCGTTCCGCCTGGACCCAATCCCTATTGGAAACGTATGGGTCTATTTAATACTGCTCATGCTGACTCTAGGCCATTATGGTTGGTAACTTTGAGCCCCTTTACCCTAATCACATACCCTGCCGTACTATGGGGAGGGCTTGTGTACGGAGTCCAGATAATGTGGCTCTCCTTGATAACCGTCACCCAGTCGAATTTGTTTGGTGCACCGCCCTACAACTTTAGTATATCCAACGTCGGGAATATCAACTTTGCAGCCTTCATCGGTGGCATTCTCGGTATGATGTGGGGTGGCTTTGTCTCCGACTGGTGTATTCTATACTTCTCCCGTCGAAACAAAGGCATACTTGAACCAGAGTTTCGTCTATGGACTATGATCATACCCGCTATTGTTAACACAGCTGGACTTTTGATGTACGGGCTTGGAGCTCTTAATGGCGTCATGTGGATTATGCCAGCTGGCTTTGGAATGGTATTCATTGCATTTGGTATTGGAAGTGGTGCTGCTATTGCTATTACCTACGCGGTTGACTGCTATCCTAAGATGGCTTCGGAAGCATTAGTATTCATGCTCTTCCTAGGGAATTTGATTGGAACTGGCTTTACATTTGCTATCCAGTGAGTTGTCTTCTGATTTGATTCGTATTAACAATGGTACTAACTTCGCTTTTCTGACTAGACCGTGGTTGCAGCACAATGGTCTTCAGAATACAACCATAATAATGTCCCTTATATGCTTTGTTTCGAACATGTCATTTCTACTGTTTATATGGAAGGGAAAAGCCTTTCGCGAGTGGACTGCCGTAAGATATCTCAGGGCCCAAGAGAAACAATTGCGAGTGTAATGAATTAGCTCCCTGAATGCTACAATATCAATGTTGAGCTAATTCTCTTATTATTATTATTTTCATTAAACTGCATTATCCATCGGCTATATATGAGTGGCTGACCTGGTTAGGCCTCTCAGTCCCTGGGGTAGGATTTCAAACTCCGCTGAATTGTACATTGGGTCAAATATTGTCTTGATAGACAATTGATCCTCCTCGTGAGTATCCCTATTCCTAGAACCATGGCTACTATTCTGTTCCGGATTTCCTGAAGTCCATGGTGAAAATACAACCACCATCTGCCGCAGTCGTCCTCGATACTGCGAAGCAGGTACAGACATATAGTCACTCCAAGACTCATCTTCCAAAATAGCAAAGCTTTCCTGAGATGATTGTAAGGGTTGTGTAGAGTCATGTTTTGCAGCCTTCTGAACCTCATTTTCTTGGCCCTTACCAGAAGGATCAGGATCGTTGTACTTGACTACACTCTTTTCACCCGGGTCTGTAACAGGTTCAGTTGAATCATCTTGATTCGTACTGTGCATGTCGACGTTTGAATTTTGGACCGCCAGCATCGGTGGATAACTACTCGTCGGTTGAAACGAGCTTTTTGATTTCAGAACAATTCGACACCCGATTTGATTTGTCCATATGAGCCCTAATGCAGGAACTTTAAACCCTTTAGAAATTCCAAGCGGTCCACCACTTGAGTATGAGTGAGGGGTCTGCGCCCAGCCGGTAAAAAATTGCTGTTGATAATCGAGGCTGAGAAGCAAATTAAACCCCGGGATACTGCACCTATCCTCTTCTTGCCCGCAAGTGCCTAAATTTACTTGAGGTAAATTGACCGAAGGACCTCGAGGTAAATGGTTCTCGGCTGATTTTGGTTGCTGGTAGGGTTGAGATGCTGGGACGAAAGATGGAACGGCACTGGGAGAAGATGCCTCTAGAGGACTCCCCGAATAGTCACGGGATTCTTCTGGAAAGGGGTCGTGGAGTGAACTTTCAAAACCATCTGATATCTGATTAGCCACTACTACCGCAATATTGTGCGTCACGGCCAAGGTGCGGAGAAAGTGACCCAGTTTCTTCAGTTGACCGGATCGCTCAAGGAGCCCGGATACACTCTCTGTAGAGCTTTCAGCACGGTAATTCGCCGTTATAGAATCGATTATGATAATTCCTATGTTATAGCGTGAAATCGCTACTGGTACCTGGTAGTTGATAATGTGCTCTTGGCTCTCAAGGTCGACGGTAGTAACCGAGTAAATATTATCCAAGGATGGGCGAGGGGTCTCCGGATGCAGGGCCTGGAGAGTCTGGTGCTCATTTATGAGTTGGCTCAGCCTATTAGTAGCGAGGTCCGACTCTGTTGATATATACAACGCATTTTTGGACAGGCCGTGGGGTGCTGGCAGCTGGACTGAGAGAAGTAGGTGGAGCAGAAACTGAGTCTTCCCAGCACCACTGTGGATGTATACAAGTTAGTTTCATAGCCATGACGAGTCATAATAAAACAGGTTCCTTCGGATTAAGGACCGTCGTATGGGTTCAATTCACCTTTCTCCAGTCACTTCAGTCAGATATCCAGTTGATATGCCTCCAGACAATGCAGAATCCAGTATTGGATCGAGAGTACTGATTTGTCCTGTCACGGGTGGATGAAGCACTTTGGACGCGCCATTCCCAACCACTGAGCTGCAGTCCGTCTCATTCCTAGCACTGCGGTCGCCATTGCCTCCCGGTTTCAGCAGGTATGTCTTGTTGTTATCTCCATTATTTCGTGGCTCATTTCCCAGCCCAAGATCCTGGTGGAGAGCATCAAGAACATGTGCGGTAAACTTTCGAATATCCGTGACCGGTGCGCGAGAAGCCTTCGCAATCTCGAGAGCATCAAGAACTAGCAGTTCCTTGAGCGTAATGCCAGCCCTTTCTAGTAGCGGCAGTAAGTGTGTATATGCCTTGGTTGAGAGGTCAGGCAGTGTTAGAGATAGGTCCATTAGCGGGTTCGAGGGGTGTGCGGAGGGCAATGAGGGCAAGCAGCTATCCGCCGGAGGCTTGCATCATTCACGTACACGTCGTCTTCACGGCGGTATAAAGTACTATTGTCATCTGAATGTGAAGCTATGGCTGGTTAGACAATTTAGACAATTGGTCAATGATGCAGCAGTCATTTGTAATCTTTTGAGGTTCAAATTTAAACTCTTTTATACCCGGCTTGGCGGCCATCTTGGTCTTATTATATATCATTGCTGATGCCTAGATGCCGGATAAACCGGAGGTTTTTCATCAACTAATCTAGATTCAAGAGCACGGTACGAGACACATCGAATCAACATTATTTGTGCGATCTGAGGAGCGCTGAAAGGGCTTTGCATCACTCTATCGCTAGCTGGATTAAGATGGCTAACATTGGCATATCAACTCCCCAACGCCTGACTTGATTCCACACAATGAAAAGAGTCCTGAAACATAGAAGTCATGATAAGAGACAAAGAGAAAGGAGAAGACCACATGCGGTGACTTTCTTTTCAGACAGCAAGCATTTGCAATGACAGAATGTATGTCTTATTAGGTAAGTAAGCCTCCTTCATGCACTGTGAGATGGCCTTTTTTTCGCCTGTTATATTCTCACTTTGCCATCCGGTTTTATTTTTTTTTACTTCGGTTCATATGTTGATTATGGAGTTTCGGCCGTTGAAGTTTTGCAGGCTGGTATCATTCAGTTGCTGACTGGCTTGAGAGAAGCAGGCTTGAGGCCAATGTTGTTACGGTTTCTGAAGAAGAGGACACCTTTTCCTTCACCCTTGGCTGTCTCGCATGGCTCAACCCACTGGCAGGTTCGGAAAGAAGTCCACATGGCTCGGAGGAATCCAAGACTGCCGTCCTTGGTGTCTGCGCGGTAGTGACGGCCCATAACCTTCTTGATGGCTTCGGTGGCCTCATCGGCGTTGTAGAAGGGGATGGTACTGACATAGTGGTGAAGAACGTGGGTTTCGATGATGCCGTGGAGAAGTTGACGGCCGATAAAGCCAAATTCACGGTCGATGGTTGCGGCGGCTCCACGGGTGAAGTTCCACGACTCTGGCTGGTAGTGAGGAAGAGTTGGGTCGGTGTGCTGCAGGAAAGTGATGGCAACTGGTGAACGGGTAAGTTAGCAAATTGACGAAGCCAGAGAGGGGTATAGAGAGCAGGGTTATCTGAACATACCAAGCCAGTGGTTAACCCAGAGGTATGGGACGAAGTACCAGACGAACATGTTGAACCATCCAAACTTGCTTCCAAGAGTGTACAGGATGGATCCGACGATCAACAAGCCGAGATCGCTGAGCAAGATCAGCTTGGCGTCCTTGGACTCGTACAATGGGCTGTTGGGGTTGAAATGATTGACGCCGCCGAAGAAACCGTTACTCTTGCCCTTTCCGCGCCCCTCGCTCTGGCGTTCATGGAAGTTATGGCCGGTAACATTGGTGAAAAGGTACATGGGCCATCCAAAGAGCTGCTGGAGTACCATGTCGATGATGGAATGGATGGGAGTCTCCTCGGTGAGTTCATCGAGCTCGTGGACCAAGCGGCCAATGCGGGAAGCATATGCCTCTCTGGTCTTGGGGACAAAGACCATGTCACGCTGCATGTTTCCGGTAGCCTTGTGGTGCTTTCCGTGGGAGATCTTCCAGGAGAAGTATGGCACGAGCAGAGAGGAGTGCAAGACCCAGCCAACGGTGTCATTGAAGACCTTGGAGGTCGAGAAAGACTGATGGCCGCACTCGTGAGCCAGGACCCAGGTACCGGTTCCGAACAGACCCTGGATGAAAGTGTACAGCCCCCAGAGGACGAAGCGAGCTGGAGTCGAGGGGACAGTCTCGGGAGTGACATAGTTGTGGAAGATGTAGAAGGTGGTAGCAAGACAGGCAATGTCTCTCAGGACATACTGCATGCCGCGGAAGCCATCACGCTTGTAGCAGTGGGCTGGAATGGCCTCGCGGATCTGCTGGATGGTGAAGTCTGGCAGCTGGAACTCGTTGCCATAAGTGTCGACCAACTTGCCGACTCCGGAGTCCTGCTGGTCTTCAGATTCCGAGGAGAGAGACGTATCAGATGCAGACATGTGCTGGGGAGTGTCCAGAGGCGAGGCAGTGGTGGAGCTGGCGGAGGAAGAGGCTGCCATCTGTCTGCGAGTGGCAGCTCCAGCAGGAAGGGCGGTAGAGGCCATCTTATCAGCGAAACGAGGGGGTTTCAGCTCGCGGTCAAGAGCTGAGAGAAAGGAAGCGAGTCTTCGCGTTCCGGAACAAGACAGCTAAATCAGCTACTCCTTTGAGGGAGCACTCTGTCTTCTCACTATAGACTGGTTGGTTAGCATCTGCTACTATCTCCTCCGCTTCCATGTCTTCCAGCCCCCTTTCTGACCACCCGCAAAGGAGCAGCGCGTGAAAGAGAGAACGATGACAAGGGGTCTCCTGCTGAATTATTGATTGCACTTACAAGGAGACAGGCCGTTACTGTGAGCGATAACGGTGAAGTTGCGGGTAAGGAAGCCACTCAATGTGTGGGAAGTGAA